AATATATAAAATGTGATATAATAGATCATTATACTTTCATATATATACTTATACTTTCATATATATACTCCTACTTTCACTACAAGAAAACTCACAAAATATGTTTTGTAAGTGAGAAGACAAAAAACAACTTGCATATGGAGTACGTAGGGAAGGTTTCTAAACAAATTCTTACAAAGAAAATTACCAGCATATTTGTAGCTTGTATCATACTAGAGACTGCTAAGTTAATTTATAAAATATATGTTTTGAAATTCAAGACTAAGTAGATAATGCAAATGGTATTGAATGTATTAGCAGTAACCTCATATACCACTGCCATGAAAAAGATTTTTCTGTATAAAACAGTTCTCCATAAAAATAGTACACGGTGAATATTAGAAATTACCTAGGCTAACAAACACTATAAACATATCAAGATAATAAGTTTCAAAAAAATGTAAGTAGTATTAGAGCCTGACTTTTTTACAATAAAATCTGACATCATAAATAAGAATAATGTGATAAAAGGTTAGGTAGTAAAATGTAATTTTGTTCAATATCAAATTTCAATTCTTGTTAACTGCAAAAATATAAGGGCATTATTTAAAATTATTGACACACGAAATAGTCTTACAACTGCAAAATATGTATTAATAATAAAGTACAAATTATACAAAAATATTTAAGTAAACAAATTTACATCTAATCACTGTTTTATGTCGAGAATTGTTTATTATAGTTAACTACTCAAACAAACAAAGCAGTTAGCCTAGAAAGTTGGTTAAATATATAAACACGCATGCATTTTAACAAGGAAAAAAAAACTTGGATAACAGAAGGTATTCATATTGTTATTAAAGATATTTTATGCAAAGGAAACATAAAAAAATAGTAAGCACCGTTTATCTGTTTTCTATCTTTTCCAATAATTATAAGTTTCATTAAGAAGAAAATGAAATGTACTTAAAACATCTGACCACCATCAGCACCTCCTAATTCCCAAGCCTTGCGGCTTACATGAAATCATTTCCCAGGATCAGGTTCCACACTGGACCTTGGAACTCCTGCACTGCCAGTCAGAATACACCCTGGGTGTCCATGTTATCACTGAGTTATTGTTCTCTGACACTTCTTTTCCTTTGTCCCCAACAACATCAATGAAACGAGTCCTTATTAATCTGTAGCAAAAAGCTGGTCATTGACATCTAATCATTGGTTTTTCTCTGCTGAGAATTATTGTAAAGCACAATATAGAGTTGTGCTTTAGTTGTTTTTTTTTTACTTACTCAAGTCTCATTGCATTATAGATAAAGGTTTTATGGCTGTATAGGCAAGGCGCACAATTATGGAAAACAAAAAAGAAATACAGAGATACACAGAAACATAGAATATGAACAGATAGACATAAAACCAGAGACATTTCCTCACATAAACAATTGTATAATTATACACAAATATGGATACACTGATTAATTTGATTTTCCTACATAAATTATTGGCCAGACATTATAGGATGATATGAATATTATGCAATTAATGTAAATATTTTTCAGAATTTTTTTTTTAGTGTATTGTCTAACTTTAAATCCATGTAGGGACCATGCAAAAAATGTATCACTTACTGTTATATACTACCAATTATATATTACTTCCACTGACAATTATATAATATGCTATTTTACAGTGAAAACAATGTACTAAGTCTCCACAGATGTTAGTTTGATAACAACATTATTTAGAAACTAGTATTAAGAAATTTCTGACAAAACTCGACCATTGAAGTTCAAGTGGATTATTTATTTTAAAATAAAGAATATGAAAAATTTGCATTTCCCTAATCTACTACTCAAAAGTTTTGCTCCATTCTAAGGTATTTTATTGTAGGAAAATAAGTATATGAAGACACACTCTGTTAGAGTTAGTCATATGTGTGTGTGTATATTATTTTATTTCTTAAAATAACATAATGAAATAAATGTTCATTCTTGCAAAGTGAAAGTTTTAAATCCTTATTAGCTCTGTTAGGGAAGTAATAAAAATCTATTTTACCACCATATATTTAGCAGTTAACATAGTTAGCTGTCTCATAATAGAAGATAAATGATATCTGTTAACTACTTTTGCAAGTAACAGTGCTACAGAGGTGAAAGATGATAGAACTGAATTCTGCTTCAGGCTTCAAAGTCAAGTCTGTCTTTTGTTGAGAACATGGAAGAGCATTCTATTTTTTCCTCACGTGCTCCCCCCAAATAAGCAGAAAAGTCTGAGATGTGATTCTCATGGAGCAGAATGACCTTGGTAGGAACTGATTATCTGCTTGTACTATGAGCAGTTCAAGAAGCCAGACACCTTCATTTTGACAATCTCCTTTCAGTTTTATAACAGCTATGTAACTTCATTCAAGTTCCTTTGCCACTAGGTATCTGATGGTATTTACTGGAAAAAGTTAACAATAATTAATATAAGTAATATTAAACCCATGAAATTATTGTGAGGATTATTTGTACCTATGTACCTAAAATTTGTCTACAAAATCAGTAATTATTATTTGCTAATCATCATTATTATTGTTATATAATAAAATGTTAAAAATTCAGGTCCTAACAGTGTATTCTCTATGTCCAGAAAGATAAATGAAGCTGGGCACCTCAGCCACAGGAGGCAAGATATTCTGTCAGGGTATGCTTAGAAAATATTGTTTTAACATAAATAGTTAAGGTTTTAATGTATGTATTTATATATTAATTTAAACTCTAAAATTGTCTATTCTATTGGATTTCAGTATGACCAAAAAGTATGAATTTCAGTATGACCAAACATCTCTCCTAATGAGCAAGAGATGTCCCCAAATGCTGCTCATATGTGGTATCATAAAGTAACAGGAAGACCTTCTGTAGAAAGCAGGACTTAACTTTTTTCATCTCCAGTTCAAAGTTTTAATATAAAGACAAAATAACAAGGATGAAGATTTTAAATAGAAGGTGTCTCTGTCATTTAGTTTGACATGATTCAAAGTAAAGTATTATGTTTTATGTATATACATATATACAATATACATATTATAATGTAGCTCAGAAAAAAATGAAAAGGATTACTTCAGTGATAGCCTGACTTATTTTACACAGTAGACTTGCTTTCCAAGTGCCCTGTTTGGGGAATTAAAACACTTACAAAGTGATTTGAAGAGCTTGTATTCTGTTTCCAATAAAGTTCACTACCCCAGACTCATGAACTTTGTTCAGCAACACTTGAGGCCCGCTAAAATTCCTAGTAGGAATCCTCCTTATCATTTATATTTCTGCTACTTTTAACCTGTCTTCCCTTAAAAAGAATGAGTTTAGACTTATTTTTTAAAACAAGCACTTTGTGTGTGTGTGCTTGTATGTACATATATATTTTACTTTATATTTACTATAGGTTTAAAACAAAAGGTGCAGGTGTGATTTTTCCCAAGTATCAACATCAAATAAAACAGCTTTCATAGCTAATTCTGGGCTGTTAATATTTGCCAGGAAAAACTAAATTTGAGGGACAGACAGAATGATTCAAGCACTTAATGTCTGTCATGCACTATGATGGACACTTTTACTTATCCTATTTAATTCTCACAATAAACTTATGCATGAGATTTTTATAACATCAACATACTAATTCAAATCATCTGTAGCTATATATATATATATATATATATATATATATATATAACTAGAAAAGAGTTTAAGTGGCATAATTATTTTTTGTACAACACCACAAAATATTGTATATGCACAAGAGTGTGATGATGAAAGTGTTGCATCAGTATGTGAATTAAGGAAAATTAGGAGATTTTTATCATTTTACATTGTTACATTGTTTGAAACTAGCTGCTCAGAGATTTTTATGTTCATTATTGTACAAACATTTTCTTTTTTTTTTTTAGAACAAAGTGTGTTGAATCCGAAGAACTTTAAAACTTCAAAAGAAAATGATTTTATCAAATTCCAATAATGATAAGCAAATGCAATATATGCCAAATTTTAGGAATATGGGACAAATTCAGAAATGCATCATTGATGAACCACATAGATTTCTACAGTCAATTAAAAACCAAAAGTGTGACTAAAAATTCATTTTTGCTGCTTGCTATACTATACTATTCTGAGACCTCCTAAGAAGTAACAAAAACAGCTATGTACTTTTTGCTTCATTATAATTAGCAATATGTGAGACAGTGACCAATTTATACCATTTTCACTTTAGTGAAAAGTCAACAATAACCAATAGAAAACTTTGAATTATGGAAAGGGAATAGACATATAAACTAAAAGTTTGAAGTCTTTAGAGATTTGGTAATACTACATTAATTTTATAAAATTTATTTTTCCCTTGCTTACAAAATAATTTTGATTTATAAACTTTATGAAGGTAATTAGCTTTCATATTTGTGTGATATATGCCAATTATGAAGAGACTATATAAGTATATTAATCTGCTTTATGAAATTACCTATCTCTGGAAATTCATATAATTTTGACCTTTTTACATTTAAAGATTTATGACAGAACCATCCCTTTGCACAGAGGCTATAGCATATAAATGGTGTGCCAAAGATTGAGCATAGTCATAAATACTGGTTTACGTAAGTAGAGATTTTTGGTATTTTCTTTCAAATGTGCATACCTATAACATTAAACATTATATTTAAGTGAGAAAATATACAAACCAAAAAGTAACAGTTTTTGTTCTAAGTCTTCAGATTTTTCAAATGTGTAATGAAAGTAAAGATTAAAAAGATGAGTTTTCCACTGGGGGGTGGAGGAAACTTTTTCTACATATATTTAAATAGACATTTTAGCAATTAAACTCAAGGTCATTTGAATGCAGCTTAAGGTAATAAATTCTTTACCTTATTAAGTAAAAGCTGCAAAATTGTACTACAAAGATTTTAAAGAAATATATAGTGTAACTAAGATAGCTAACATCAGCATGACACAAAAAATAAATAAATAAATAAATAAATAAAAATTATAGTTTCTTACCATGAATTACTGGCACTAAGAGCATCATGAAGAGCAGTAGCTGTGATGACCACATGATTGTGTACTCAGACGTGAGAGGCTCAAGAGCAAATATTCCAAAGAAGAAACAAAATAATCGTCTTTCTGATTCCAATTCTGCACTTGAAGACGGATGATTGTTTAATCAAATAGAAAAAAAAAATTCTTCAAAACAGAAACACCAATATTCCAAATCTGAATCCTGAAAATAAGAACCAAAAGAAACAAAGGTTATCAAATACAAATATCATTATCTTAATCTTTGAAAGGTGGTCATCTTATTAGTACCAGTGCACTTCCCACCTTACTCATTTTAATGAATACAGAAATCACTTACAAAAATGAGTGAGTAACTTAAGAACCTTATTTATGCACATGTTAATACAGGATAAATTCAGTGTCACTGAGAAAGATTTTATAAACATAAACTTTATCATGTAAACAAAGATTTAGGTCTAGCTTTATAAATATCTTCCAGAAATACAATTTTTACCAACATTTGAATGTTAAAAAAAAATCCATTCATTATTATTAGCATGATTTTGTAAAAAGTTAAATACCGGCCCTCCCTGGTGGCGCAGCGGGTTAAAGCACAGCACTGAGAATCTAAAGCCTCTTCTGCATGAGTTCGATTCCCGCCTGCCCCGGAGGTGACC